TAAATATTGATTAAAATATCTAATTACATGTTAGTTTAATCAATTTGATAGTTAATTAAGTTTTTTAGTTGTTAAAATAAGTAAATTAATTATTAATTAAATTAATTACATATTATTTAAAATATTTAATTACTTGTTAGTTTAATTAATTTGGCGCTTAATTAAATTTTTTAGTTGTTAAAATAAGTAAGTTAGTTTTTAATTAAATTATTTAAATATTTAATTACGTGTTAGTTTAATTAATTTGATAGTTAATTAAGTTTTTTAGTTATTAGAAGAAGTAAATTAGTTGTTAATTAAATTAATTAAATATTTTTTTAAAGAATAGGGGTTGTACCTTGATAATTTTATTGATAACAAAAAGAAGGAAATATAAGAAGGGGACAATCCAACCTTACCTAAAGAAAATGGGGAACAAGGAAACTTGACCCCTAATGGTAGGAGGACACCTATAATTAAACAAACTAAGTTTATCTTGTCTACTAACAACCTTTATCATTAGAGGGAGCTAACTAAAGTTTCTAAAAGGTATATCTAACTCTTGCTGAATCGCTTCATTAGCCAATTAATCTGCCACCATGTTTATTTCTCTGCAAGTATGGTGAAAAGTGTGGGAGCTTCTTAGTTCCCGACATTCCTAAAAGGGATACGTGTAAGCCTAAGGCACCTTATTAGTGCCTAAGATAGTACAAATCGTAACCATTGAATCGGACTTAACATACACCGAAAGTAGATCCAAATCTTTTCATAGAGCTAACCCATCCCAAAGTGCTAACACCTCAGCCTTAAAGTGGGAACCATCCCCATAGAAGTTGCCTAAAGCTTGATACAAAAGAGCTTGAAGAATCTTGAATTACCCCTCCATCAAGCACAAAAACCATCTCTAACCAATCCATCCATATTTAATTTTAGTTTACCAAAGGGAGGAGGCTCCCACTTAATTCATTTTCCTCTTAGGACTTTCAACCGAATTGGAGTAATGCATAAGTCTTGTAACTTCCTCGACCCATCTACATTTGGAGAGCTTTTTGGGACAAATAAACCGCATGTATCCTAAATGTTTACCATAACTCTCCTCATGATATCATTTGCTCTCATTTGATCATCCTCATATTTTGATTTACACCGGCTTTTCCATAGTTCCTATAAAAAATAAAAATAAAAGGCATCGACTTGGCACATACCTAATTGAGTATTTAGAGGGGACATCCATGCTCGCACCTATTCTCGCTATTGAAAGCCATACTCGTTTTGCACCAAAAGATTCTCCCAAAGTGTCCCTGCACTGCTTCACCACCTAAGAATCAATGAACAAATGTGTAATGGTTTCTACCTTATGATTCGTACAACACTAACAAATTGAAGCTAATGGGATGGAAAGATCTTGAATGCAAGCATCAACTCGCCAATGCATATCTAAATGATTTCCACATCAAAATAGCCACCCTTGTTGATATGTTGGGATTCCAAATCCCAGTAGCCCACAACCACTTTGGGGTTTGATTTTGGATATGGTTCCAATATGCTCTAGTCTCAAATTCTCGTAATTTATTCATAGTACAAATCAATCTATCCTCCACGAGTATCATCCAACCTTAGTTCCTACACCCTTTCATGGTGTTGATCGGGAAAACAAGGCGAGAAAATCAACAAGCTTCTAAAAAGCTTCTCTCACCATTAATCTTTCAATAAACAAGTAACAAAGATTCTAGTGAAATCTCGCACCAGTTAACATACCGGAAAGCAATTGAGCCTTTTCTTATAATCCATTGACTAACCAAAACTAAGGAAGACAAGAGTGATACAATGGCCTTCCAACTATGGGAAGACGTCTTGAAGGACTTCCCTTTGTCCCTATATCTTGCTTACAAGAAATGAGCCAAAAACTTGATCCCCGAATATAGGACCAAGCTAATTATGCTTATAAAGCTACCATAATTGCCCCAAGCTGCAAATCGCTAATCCACCTTTCGATATGGGCGAACATACCTATTGCCATGAGACCCAATGGTGATGATTTTCTCTAGCCGAGCTCTACGTAAAATTAGCTATCGACCTCTCAATTCTCCGAATTGTACCCTTAGGCACATAAATAACTACTAACACATGCATTAGTATACTACTAATCACCGCATGATGTAAGATCAATCGAGCCCCAAAGGACAACAGATTGTCCTTCCACCCACTAATCTGCCATTTAATCTTCATCTCTAATGGGAGAAAGTAAACTTGATGCATTCTCCTCGTGAAGAGAGGGATCCCAAATACTATAACGAAAATTGGAAATGGCCACATCTCGTATGCTATTTTATAGATTCTATTTTTTGCACCGACGTGTTTTTAGGAGTGTAAAAACCACTCTTAGCCATATTTAGTAATTGCCCCGAGCTTTCCTCGTACATGGACATCAAGCCCCTCAACTTTGTCAAAGATTGTTTGGACCTATTCGTGAACAGTAGCATGCCATCTCCATAAAACAAGTGAGAGACTATCAATGCTCCCCTAGGTAACCTATATGGCCGAATAAGTCCCTTTATCGTACATTTTTCTAGATTGATTGAAGGTACTTATTGAGCCATGATAAATAGCAAAAGTGATAATGGATCCTCTTGTCTAACATCCCTAGATGATTTAAAGAACCCAAAGTTTCTACCTTGAATTTGGATTATGTACCAAAGATAACCGAGATTTCTATACACCAAGTCTCACCAAGTTTCATTAAACCCTATCGCCCTTATAACCTTTAAGAGAAATGGCCACTTGACCCTATCATAAGCCTTAGACAAGTCTAGCTTAAAAATTAGATTATCTCTCGTGAATCTTTTGGTTTAAGCTTGCCACCATCTCTTGGGCTAATGCCATATTTTTTATGATGCTACGCCGTTTAACAAAGCCAACTTGTTCTACATCTATTAACTTAGGCATTACCACACTCAACCTATTTGCTAGGATTTTCGAAATAATTTTACAATTAAAATTAGATAGACTAATCAGCCTTAGATCACTTAAGGAGCTCGGGTTTTCCATCATCGAAATCAAGACCAAAATACAAGAAGACATGCCTCTTGGAATCCGACCACCCCGAAAAAATCCTAAACTGCTACAATGACATCAATTCGAATCACATTCCAGCATCCTTTATAGAAGTGACCCGTAAACTCGTTCCACCCAAATGTACTAGATGCATACAACAAATTAATGGCGTTCCTTATTTCGCATTCTTTGGGAACATTTGTCACCTAGATATTAATGTCCCGAGTAATGCTTTTATAAACTCCTATAAACAAGGATTCGTGGTTTACTATTGGGCCAGCTTGAAAATAATGTCCGAAAATAGTCAACCGCTTCAACCTCTATCTCCGACACATCCTCCACAAAGGTCCCATCCTATTTCAGCAATCGAAAGTTCATTTTCCTCACATTATCTTTTATACATACATGAAAAAAATTTGTATTTCTATCTTTCTCTCGTAACCCATTTTATCCCCTTTTTTTCTATCTCAACGATATCCTCATCCCATTGGATTAAACTTGCTAACTCATTTTGTCTATCTTAAAGCATGTCGATCGATTGAACGTTCCATCCATTTGCCGGATCCATGTCCAATCGATAAATTTCATCTTGTAATGCTTCCATTTTTTGATGGATGTTACCAAAATCTCCTAATTCCACACTTTTAATTTGCTTCTCAAATGTTTCAACTTCGATGAAGGATTTCCATAAGTGAACCCCTCACACTAGTAGCCTATGACACATGCATAAACTCTTGAAAGTTTTCATGCTCCATCCATATTTGCTAAAACCAAAAGAGACCCTCTCTACCACTTTGTTGTCGTGCTCGAATCACCGAGTGGGCTATGATCCGAAATTGTTCTCGCCAAATGTTCTATTACTAAGTTTGGCCCGTTAGCAACATACGAGCTATTAACCATTACACTATCTAGCCTCTCCCAAATTCTAGCAAGTTCAAACCGATTATTACATTGAGTAAACCTCGCTACTTTGATAACCCAAATCGATCATCTCGATTCTATCACAACAATTATTAAACTCCAATATACCCCGAATGTTCGCACTATTACCATTGATCTTCTCATTAGTATTTGCTACGATGTTAAAATCACCTTTCATAATCTACAGTTCTCGTGATAGTGAATTCAACTTATCCAAGTTCATCCCATAACTCTTGTCATTCCCTCCTATAGCAACTACCATACACTATCGACACTCTTAATTTTTCCTCTTGATATCCTAAAATATTGACGAGTAACTACTTGTTTGTGTATCGACTCATAACTCATTGAAATATCCTCATCCCAAAACAACCATATATGAGTATTTACCGGATTAAAGTGATTGAAACACTTATATTTAATAGACTTAGCTATACTTTTTATTCTATCTTCACCTAACTTGGGATCAATAATAGCCATAAATTCGGCCTATGTTGTTTCTTCAAAACATTAACATAATTAATTGTGTCGTTGTTTTCCACATCCGTAGCATTCTAAAAATACCCGACATAGTTAATTTGATGTAGAGATTGTGCCCAATGCTTTAAAAATTGATCTTATCTTTCTACAACACTTCGGTCGCCGACGTTTTCTATGTCCGGCTAATTTCTAAAACTTCTTAAATGTTCTCTTTACACTCTTCAGCTCAGCCCCATGAACATCAAGACTCCCTAACAAGAGATGACAAAAATTATATGTCACCCGTTCCTCTTCATCTTTTGAAACCGACCCTTTCCACCTAGCTATTTTATAACCATCTAAACCTTTGATTTTATATAAACTATTTATATCAGAACTATCCCTAGTCTGCTTCGAAGCCTCCTTTACCATTGCATACTCTATCGCACAGCCTTTTCTATTAACCGACACACCAATGTGATCCAATTCCTCTATATTACCCTCTTCCGTACAACCTGTGCATGTAATTATTGCCCACACGTTATTTCATGCATTACAACTTGTGACTCATTCCAACCAGTATCGTGCTATCTCACATTAATTGCTTTCCCCATTGGCTGGCCCTTCATTAACTCCTTTCCTCTATTTGTATTACATATATCCCAATCAGTGTCCGTAACCCCTAAAAATTCATTGGCAACCGATTTCTCATATGAAGATGCCACTTTCCTGACTAGGGTAGTACATTCAGTCTTTTTATTCCTGTCCACCCATACTACCTATATAGCTGTTTCATGCAACATATTTCCCCTAATCTTATGATCACCCACATTTTCTTTGCTACCAATTGTACTAGCCTTTGTCCTCCATGTTTTCCTTGATTTGCCCTACAAACCAGCCTCTTGCTCGCTCCTTACATGTTTTGATAAAAGTTGAGGCACCCCCATTCCCTGGTTTAGCTAAGGTATCACCACCAATACTAGGATTAGCCTTCATGTTTTTATTACCTTCCAGCTCTAAACATCTTGAGTCCTCTGCTAACTCCAATACTGTAAATTGGTTAGTAATTACCATGCTTGACTCAGCCTGCTGATCAGCCTTACCTTTATCGATAACTTCCTTAGACTTAGTTTCCTTGTCCTCTTCCATATCCTTCACTTCTACACCCATAACTTTCTGCTTTGTCCCCTCCCCATTTTCTTTATTTTGCATACTGGATTCTCCTTTCTCCATCACCCAGACGCGATTTAATCTATTCCCCATTGGCATGCTCTCCATGATAGGAATATCTGAATGCTACCTGCCTTGTAACTAAACCCATTGGTCAGTATCCTTCAGGTTACTGTGAACACTTCTACCTTTGACAGAGTGATCACCATTGTTCTTCATCACCCCCTTACAGCTTCCGAAAGCCCTTTTTCTTTCTTATGACATATATTATCAGTATGGCCTATGAGACCACATGCATTACAGTAAATTAAGTTACCCTCATACTCAATCCTTTACCAAAATCGAGGGTCCTTAGAACTACCCACCCATATTCGATTAGGTCAAGGCTATGAGACATTTATTTGAAGACAAATCCGTGCATACATGAGATGAGTTAAGGCCATTTTCCTTTCATCAAACCTCAAGAAACCCCCAATGCCTTCCCCTATGCGTTTCAAGTATGATGGGTTAAAATATAGCAAAGGTAAATGAGGCAATCTCACCCAAGCCGAGATGAGAGGACTATCCCTCAACTAAAAATTTGCATTCCATCTAAATACTCTATACATATAATTCATGATCTTTTGACCTTCCCTAGATAAAACATGATTCAAATCCTCATCCAAATCTAGCTTCACCATGACATCCCTAGGGTCCAGCAATCCAATCACGGGTTCACCATTGAGCTTCCATAATTGGTGAATATTGAAGAAGAATGCCTTGATAGCAGGTCTTCCCACTGAGAACTTCAAAATAATAGTGTGACTGAATAGTGCTGCAGTCGTCTCCAACTCCATTGAAGAGAATAAGTAGGCTGGCTCATCGTTAATGTACACTGGTTGTATTGGAGCAAGGGGTGTGTCCTTTAGGGGATAAGATTTGTGAGTATTAGTTCTGGTTCCGTGATATTTGACAGTAGTCGCGACTCTTTCTTTTTCATTGCCATTAACAATTGCTTCAGCATACGATAAACCTGTTTTCTTGTTAGTTTATTGTGTTTCATTTGAGACCAAAATCTGATTCAAAGGAGCAATCTGTTTGCCTACATCTATCCCTGCTGGAGTAACGACCTCCGAGGCATCCCCCTTCCTACCATTCTGGGCTGAAACAGCATCCCTTATTGTGATTGTTGCTTGAGTCTATCTGTTTGGAGGAACAGACTAGAGCAGCACTAATGGCCGAGCCAACATGGCTGAAGCCGTCATCTTCTTCTGCTTTCTAGAGTATGCGAGTTTGCTCCTATTTTTTCACAGCTACAAGGACACCGAATATTCTATCAATCTCATTACCATATTTTAAGGTTGTTTATTTATATCATTAATTAAGTATTTTTTAAAATATTTAATTGCGTATTAGTTTTATCAATTTGGTATTTAATTAAGTTTTTCAACTGTTAAAATAAGTAAATTAGTAGTTAATTAAATTAATTGAAAATTGTTCAAAATATTTAATTATGTGTTAGTTTAATCAATTTGGAAATTAAGTAATTTTTTAGTTTTTAAAATAAATAAATTAGTTGTTAATCAAATTAATTAAATATTGCTTAAAATATTTAATTGTATGTTAGTTTAATCAATTTGATAGTTAATTAAAATTTTTAATTGTTAAAAGAAGTAAATTAGTTGTTAATTAAATCAATTAAATATTATTTAAAATATTTAATTACGTGTTAGTTTAATCAATTTGGTAGTTAATTAAGTTTTTTAGTTATTAAAAGAAATAAATTATTATTTAATTCAATTAATTAAATATTATTTAAAATATTCAATTACGTGTTTGTTTAATCAATTTGATAGTTAAGTAAGTTTTTTAGTTGCTAAAATAAGTAAATTTATTATTAATTTAATTAATTTATTTTATTTTTTAAAAATATTTAATTACATGTTAATTTAATTAATTTGTTAGTTAATTAAGTATATTAGCAGTTAAAATAATTAAATTAGTTGTTAATTAAATTAATTAATTATTGTTTAAAATATTTAATTAAATGTTAGTTTAATCAATTTGGTAGTTATTTTATTATTTTTGTTGTTAAAATGAGTAAATTTAGTTGTTAATCAAATTAATTAAATATTATTTAAAATATTTAATTACATATTAGTTTAATCAATTTAGTAGTTAATTAAGTTTTTTTTAGTTATGAATATAAGTAAATTAATTGTTAAATAAATTAATAAAATATTATTTAAAATATTTAATTACGTGTTATTTTAATCAATTTGATTGTTAATTCAATTTTTTAGTTGTTAAATTAAGTCAATTTATTTTTAATTAAAATATTAAAAAATTATTTTACAAAAATAATTAGTGTTCTTTTAATTAATTCTATGTTAATTAACTTATTTAGTTGTTAATTAAATTATTTAATTGTTTAAAAAATTTAATTAGGTGTTAGTTTACGTAATTGGTTTCAATTAATTTAATTAGTTGTTAAATTTATTTTATTATTTTTAAATTTAATATTTAAAAAATTAATTAGGTGTTACTTTATCTAAATTGATGTTAGTTAAATTATTTATGTGTTAAAATAATTATGAATTCGGATCATTGATGGATCGACTATAGATATATCAATAGTCTTTTAAATAAGAGTTCAATAGATGCGAGCAAATGAATTTATTGATTTATTTGTTAGTCATCTTGAATGTATGGACAAAAATAGGATAAGATGCCTTTGTAAACTCAAAAAGTATCAAAACCATAATTATGAAGATCCCGATATAGTTAAGTACCATTTGATGAGATATGGTTTTGTGTCCAAGTATTATGTGTGGAGATGCCATGGAGAAAGTGAGTCGATGGTTTATGGTTATAACTCAAAAATTTTGTTAAAACTCAACAAATATTTGATGAACCTCTCGCCTAATCCATATCACACAATGGTGATGGATTTAACCAGTCTATCATTTAATTCGTCTAACACCAACAAAGTCTCAAATCCCGATGCCTAGGAATTTTATGATTTGTTGAATACATCCAATAGAGAGATCTAGCTTGGTTCATAAAACCACTCGCAGCCTATCTACATTAGCATGCCCGTTACACATAAAGTTTGAAAATCATTTTTTAGAGAGATATTACAACGACTTATGTCAACTTATGAAAGAGTTCATGCATATTGATTACTATATGCCAAAAGACTTTTACATTACGAAAATAATAATGGGTTTACTAGTTCAACGAATCCATAATTGTAGAAATAGATGCATGATTTATTGGGATGAAGATAGTGAGAGAATTACTTATAAAATCTATGACCATCCTCGATATCAAAGTTTTAGGCCAAGATTGGTTAGATAAACTTATGTCTCATATAAAAATTGTATTATTTCCCCTAACCTCGTGGTTATAGAGGATGTATGCATTGAATGTTATAGCTAGTGACATGAAGTGGCATGCTGAATATGAAGTTGAGGCGGACATCATACGTCATTACTCCGACTCTATTGTATGGTGATATTTCAATCAAATAAATCATTCTTTTGCATTAGAAATTAAAAATGTCGGATTAGGAGTTTAGACTAATGAGTTTTAGTTGTTTGGTCCATCTAGACAACAATATTTTTTGTGGCCTATAATTGTAACATTGTAATTTACCACCATGAAAGTACATGAAGAAAGAATATATTTTCTTAATTATAATTGTCTCAAAACCAAAAAAATCTAAAGATCAACCTAGACATATAGTTACAGACCCTTTATTAAGGAGTTAGTTTATTTTTGGGAAGTTGATTTGGTTACCTATGATGTGTCTCGTAAGCGCATTTTTCATATACAAGCCATAGTATATGGACAATAAGTGATTTTTATGCATATTCAATGCTCGTTTGGTTGGAGTACTCGTAGGCAAAATAGTAGGCCCTAATTTCATGGAAAATTTGGATTCTTTCGGTCTTCATAATGGTAGAAATATCTATTGGTTTGACGAATCATCATAAGGTTTTACCAAAAATTCATCTATTTAGGAGGAATAGGAATGCATTAAAAAAAAATACAATCATCATAGACATTGCTCCCCGATCCGGTCTAAAATGGATATTTTGCATAAATAGAAATTTAAAGGTTGATGAAAGTTATGAAAGATGGTTTCGAAGAGTGTAACGAGTAGTGTATCTAGAGTTTATGGTTGGAAAAAATGAAGAGTATTCTAAGATTTTCCATATTAGAGTTCTAATCTAATCCAAGCACAATTTTAATGTGATGCACATTGAAAAAAATATCTTTGATGATGTTTTTAATACAATTATAAGTGTGCTAGAAAAAATCAAAGACAATGTCAATTCTAGTGAAGACTTAAAACTTTATTGTCGGCGATCACAATTAGAAAGAGATGAAGACTTTGAAAAACACCTTAAAATGTTACACCCAAGACAAACAACAAGAAATACAAATGCTTGAATGGCTTAAACAACTTAGGTTTCTCAATAGATATGTGTTGAACTTAGCTAGATGTGTTGATATGAACAACCTCGGATGGCATGTTATAAAAAGTTATGGTTGTCATGTATTTTTATAGAGATTAATACTTGTCGTATTTAGTGATCTATTATCGAAAACTTTTTGGCAAGCACTTATTGAGTTGAGTTTATTCTTCAAGGAATTGACTTTTACTCGTCATTATGATTGAAGATATGATACATCTTAAGATAGAGATACCTTTAATTTTGTGCAAGGTTGAGTGCATATTTCCATCAAGCTTCTTCGACTTAATGGAACATTTTCAAGTTCACTTGGAATATGAAGCAAAAATAGCGAGACCAATATAATATCGATGGATGTATCCATTTGAAAAGTAAATGTATTAATTTTGAACACTTGATTAATTTTTTTAAAAATATTTATTAGCTAACATACATATATAATGCAAGTATCTTTGGAAAATAGAAAACAATGTTGAGAATAAAACAAGAGTTGAAGGGTTAATATGCAATGCATATTTAGTAGAAGAAGCCTCAATGTTCTGTTCATACTGCTTCGAGCCATATGTGCATACCGTGCATTGAAAACTCGTCACGTAACTTTGAGTGTACTCGAGAATCAAGTGATGACATTAA